CTGGCACTGCAGATTTCTCCCAAGCCATCGACTGCGGAAGAAAAGAGTTAGTTTCAAACCTTGATATTGTTCCTGGCATTGCAGATTTCTCCCAAGCCATCGACTGCGGAAGAAAAGAGTTAGGAGTGGAGATGGGTTCTTCACAGAGTGAGATGAGGTTAGTCCGTCAAAACCATTTGCCTGATGCATTGCTTTGTTCTGCCCACGAGGGTACGCGAACACCTGTTTTAATCTCTTGTTTGTCTGGATCCCCAAGCATTACGACATTATTTATTTGCCTTAATGCATGTCGGCTGACCGAGAGATGAATTATTGCCGTTGGGGTGGATGTGGTGCACACGTCGTGCGTGGCCAATGTCATCCCTGTTTCTTGTCATGGTTAAAACAATTTTCCACTGACTCGCGCGACTAATAACGTATCCATCCGTCACTACGTATCGTCTTAATGACCCTTTCATCACAAACTTGTGCATGCAGATCATGGCCATGAGCAGCAGGTTCACGACGCCCAGGATGAAAAGGTTCTTCTGCCATGCTTGATTCTGTTCAAGCAGTGTTACATGCCAACGTACCGACGCATGCGAAATCAGATGACCCCAACGTGCCGATACACCGATGCAGGAGCTAACCTGGGACTTTGATGAACACATGGTGTGTGGCTTCGGCGAGATGAGAGAAATGAAGATAGATAGAATGGTTGGTCGGCATGAGAATTTATAAGCAAGCCAGTTGTTTAAAAAACTCAGCAGGGAGCGTCTCGCAGCTAGCCGTTGGGGCTGGGATGGTAGAGCCCAACTGCTCGGTTCAATGCCAAGCCCTGCCATGTGCTGCGCATGTCAGGTGAGTGATACGCGTCAATACCGCACGTTATACGGCTAGCGCGTATTGGAGTTGCACGAATCACGCGGGGGGCGAGCGGCATGGATACCAACCGCGCGTAGCCGCATGTCCACTCACCATTATTCGTCCAACGACGCAGCTACTCCAGATGAAGAAAAAAACCAACAATGATGCTGCTACTCCCTCCGTAAACTAATATAAGAGCATTTAGATCACTATTTTATTTATCTAAACACTCTTATATTAGTTTACAGAGGGAGTATATGCTAATTATATCAAAATACACCCAACCATGCCATGCCTAATAGCTAACTAGTGGTTGGGGTCCACCATTGCAGGCCGTTTGCGAGCAAGTTATGCGCACCTTACCATCATATCAAAAAAAATTAAAAATATTCTCACATTACGTAGACATCGCATCCATCTTAAAAGGAAAAAAGAAAAAGCCTAGAAAAACTTTTCTCAAAAAAAAGTCTTCCTACCATTTAATAAAGAACTCTCACCGTGACCAACCAGCATGCGCCACATGGGTAGCTGGTTAGCTAGTTGGCCACCATTCTAGCGCCTCTTTAACACCTCACCATCATGTAAAAAATATTCTCGCACTATGTAGACATCACATCCATCTTAAAAAGAAAAAGAAAAAGCTAGAAAAACTTTTCTCAAAAAAGAGTCTTCCTACCATTCAAAAAACTCTAAAACAACTTTCTCACCGTGACCAATCAGCATGCGCCACATGGCGTAGCTAGTTGGCCACCATTCTAACGCCTCTTAATGGGTTTAATATAATAAGATAGCCTTATTAGCAACAGATCTACCAAAAAATAGTTGTTCGTTTCAGGGACCAACGAAGGGGAAGCAACTAATCTGCAGATGCAGTGAAAAGTGTTTCAAATCCAGCATCTTATGATGTTGCTTCCTGTTCTGCATATATGTACTAACTGTATATTGCTGGGTACTAAGAATGCAACAGATGAATGAGCTATAGCCATTCCCCATATGCCAAAACTAGGGCACAAACCAATCCCAGTAAAGAACAACTCGAGTAGAACAGATGTGCTAAACTTTGCGCTAAAATGAACAGTTTTGATCAAGAACTTTCACACCGCCAACTCTATCCCGAGCAAACTATTTAAATTTTCTTCCATAGATGAAACCGACAAAGACTGTCTCAGGCTTACTGACGGGTGCGGCGGCACGCGCCTCCGCCCGCTAGTAGGCATTAGTTTACCTGATACTTCACCACCACCAGTAAGACAGGGCACTGCAAGTCTGCAATAGAATGCTAACATGGTTTCAAATAGACTAAAGCTGACCGGCATATATATGTACTCCCTCTGTAAAGAAATATTAGAGTGTTTAGATCACTTAAGTAGTGATCTAAACGCTCTTATATTTCTTTACGGAGGGAGTACTGTAGAAAAAATTGACAGCGGAATAAGACACGATTCTAGTCAGAATATATTGGCAGGGTTTGAGCTTTTCCATCGGCATGTCATTGGGCATCCTTGTAAAGGAAGACATCTGGAACAGAGGCTGAATCCAGCTCATAGAAGCCGCCGAGCTTGCCGCCATTTTCTTCCGTCAGACAGAACGAGGGCACCCGGTGAGAGAACTTCAGATTGTGCCCTGTAGGTATCTCCACAACTCTCTTTCGCTTGCCAGGCTTGAACACCGCTGTGTAACCATTGACCTGAGTAAGAAGAGAAACTTTTGTGCTAGCTTCAGTGCGCTCAATGATCTCACCGATCTCAAATCCGCAAGCATGAGGGCTCGAGGGAGTCCAGTCAGGTGTCCAGTTCATGTAGATGACCCAAATCTCACCTACTTGCGGAACAATTTCAATCTGCTGGTTTGGATCATGTCCCGTGCATACTAAATGAGAGAAAGTATCGTTTGTTTCGTACATGGTTTTCCAGCTTCGAATTTTAAATTTACCACAGCTGACTGGTATATCCTGCTCCAACCACTGTTTCTCCTGCTCCACTTGGGGACAAGCTTCAAGCCAGGTCAAATACACTTTGAAAGGTTCTAGCTCGACTTTGCTTACCCAGCCATAGAACTTAGGAAAGTTGTCAACATCACTGTATAAAGCCCATATTTGTCCACGTTCAAACTTCTCACATGAGCGGCATTCTTCGAAGTTATAGAATTCAGAATCAGGATATGTATAAACTAAGGAGGGACTATTTTGCTCAGAGAAGTCACCTAAAGCATTAGGACCATTGGGATTTCTCTGCAAGGATGTGTTTGGCTCAGAAGAAACATATTCATGTTTTCCTCTACTGCTTGCACTGTCAGTGCTCAAATCAATGGATGTGCTGCCCTCTTTCTTGCCAGGGGACATGCAGGAGTGAAGAGAAACACAAGGAAACGCTGCATCCAGGTCAATGGGGAGACATGCAGTGTCAAGTTCCAGAAAACCTCCAGGGACACCAACTTTCTCATTCCCATTTGTCCTATAAAACGGAACACTGTGAGAAAAACGAAGTAGCTCACTTGGTGCTACCACAATTTCAGATTTCTCCTTAACTGTCGCAAATAAGCTCACAAAGCCTTCAATCCTGACCAATGGGACAACAGTAACGCCAGCACTAACTGAGAAATCTGACATGACTTCCACGACTTCATATTCATAGGATCTATGATTATCTGCATCTGATCCCCACTGCATGTTCCATCCCTTATAAAGAGCCCATACCTCACCCTTACTGGGATGTACTTCATATTTCCTTCGTTTGCCTTTTGTCCATGAAACAATATGCGAAAACATGAGTCTGTCTTGTGATATCTCTGTTGTTCCTAAGCTAAAGCTTCCACAAGCAACGGGCAGTTCTTCATCAGACCATTTCTCCTCTGCTTCATTCATTGCAATGCGCTCCAGCCAAGTGAGATGAACTTTAAAGTTGGAGGCATCCAAACTTTTTATTCTAGCATAATATCTTGGCATGCCATCAAGGTTATCATAAAGGGCCCAGATCTGACCAGTTGCAAACAGACTAGCATCCCTCAACTTCTCAAAATCGAAAAATTCTGCGTCAGGGAAAGAAAGCTTCACAGAATAGCAAGGTTGATTCTGACCAACAGTATCTGTAACTTCTGCCCTGATATTGTCCTGATCACCTATATCTGGAGTTTTAGCTTCCTCTTGGGTGTCTACTTTGCCAGACACATCAGATGGAACCGATTGCCTGTCAACGTTAGTGACATTATCATCAAATATTTGCTTCCCATTCAAATCAGCATTAGATGGACAATTATTCTTTCTTCGCTTCTTTTTGCTATTACAGTTGAGGCTACTACTGCCATCAGCATCTTGTGTCCTCCTAGCTGATCTCCGGAGAACGGGGGATCCCGCAGCATTTAACACTGTAGATACATCCTCTACACAGTTCTTTCTGTCAAAAACACCTGTGTTCATGTTTACAGTTTGGACACAAGATTTACTTTGAGTCTTTGCTGGAATTTCAACTTTCCCCTTTGTAATATATGACTCGTTAGCTTCCTTCTCGCCACTAGGATTGTCATGCCCTTTTATATCGCATTCTGCCACATTTATCCTTATTTTGGCATATGTGTTAACACCTGTAGATGAAAGCTTTGCAGGACCAGGGACATTCATAGCATTTGAAGCTGCAGATGCATCTGCTCTACCTGACTTTGGTCTGCCAATGATGCTTGGATCAGGAGGATCTGGTATTGACCATCCACCCATATGTCCATTTGCAGTCGGTACAGCAGGTTTTTCTTGATTCATTGCTGAAAATTGACTTTGCCCGCTTGTCGTTCTTGACTGACTAGGGACATTCATAGCATTTGAAGCTGCAGATGCATCTGCTCTACCTGACTTTGGTCTGCCAATGATGCTTGGATCAGGAGGATCTGGTATTGACCATCCACCCATATGTCCATTTGCAGTCGGTACAGCAGGTTTTTCTTGATTCATTGCTGAAAATTGACTTTGCCCGCTTGTCGTTCTTGACTGACTAGGGACATTCATAGCATTTGAAGCTGCAGATGCATCTGCTCTACCTGACTTTGGTCTGCCAATGATGCTTGGATCAGGAGGATCTGGTATTGACCATCCACCCATATGTTCATTTGCAGTCGGTACAGCAGGTTTTTCCTGATTCATTGCTGAAAATTGACTTTGCCCGCTTGTCGTTCTTGACTGACTAGCTTTCTCGCCCATGGTTGGCCTGCTATACCCTTTCATGTAACCGTCACCTTGGGCCACATTCATCCTTGGATTCGCACCTGTGGTTTCCTGTGCAGAAGAAAGCTTCACACGGCGGCCTTGTTGACTTGGAAACGTCTTCGTTGGAACTTGAGAATTAGTGGGTACACTCGATGAAGTCGGCGCATACTGTTCTTGTAAGTTGTACTTGTATGCAAAGAAATTATTTTGGCAGTTCAGACAGCGGATCAGAGTGTTTAGGACATGGTTGTGATACTGATATCGCATCTGACAATGAGCACATATGGTCCAAAAAGTCAGTACATGCCCAGGTACATCGCATTTGCGTGTGCCACTCTTCTTTTGTTGCTGTGTAGCTTGCTTCGGCACTTTTCTGGAAGCATACTGCCTTCTGATATCATAATGAGATCGCTTTGTTTGATCACACAATATTGTATGAGCTTCAGCAACCAACTTGAAAGCAGCTTCAGCACCAGGAAAACAGTTTTTATCGGGATGGAGTGAAAAGGCAAGCCTGAGGTATTGCTTTCTTATGTTAGCATGATCTGTTGTTGCCTCCACTTGAAGGATTGCATACCAGTCCGGCTCTCCATTCACCCTTGCCTCTGCTGCACAGTGTACAGTGCAAACACTTAACAGCTGAGATATATTTTCAAGCTCTGGAAATAGCATCTGAGCTTTAAGTGCAATCTTTCGGGCACCAGCGAAGTCTTTATCTTCCAACTTCTTTACAGCAATTTCCCTGGCCATGGAAGCCTCTTCTCTGTTGCATTCCATCATAATCACTGCCAAAAAAATACCACGAAGCTCTCACGTGAAGTGATATCAGATGGAAATGAGTATCCTCTGACTCAAGCTTCAGAGCAGATAACGGATGCGCACATCTGGATCAATTTCTCGAATAACAATATGACTGAAAAATTACTGCATCAGGACCTACAAATTTAAGAAGGAAAGAATAATTCTTAGTATCTGAAAATTTAACACCTAAAAACACACGCATTTGTGGATTCCATAACAATAAGTCAAGATTGCTTGAGTGCAAAACCTAGTATACGAGACCACATATGATATATTCCCTCCGTTCATAAGTAGATAGCTTCCTAGAAAGCGTGCAGTCAAATTTGTTTAACTTTGACTAGTAGTAGATAAAATAATAGTTAGATTGGTAAGATGAAAGTAGAAATATTAGAATTTTCATGAAATATATTTCCATCATATTAAACTACAAGTTTCTACTAACATATACGCATGGTCAAGAATACATATTTGAGAACGAGTCAATGCTAAAACATCATCTATTTTGTGACACATCGAAAGGCAATACCAGCAAAAAAAGACATGTGAACAAGATTGACAAAAGATATATTTCACATCAACCTTATGCACCACTGATTAGAGTAAGGAAGAGCGAATTGTTATTTATAATCAGCTACGTGGCCAGCGTTCTTCGTAAGTTGTTTATGCAGTACCGTAGTTTGCTATCACCAGAAAATGTTTGTAGCAAGCTATTATCAGCTCGTCGATGTACAACACCATAGTATAGTTTGTATTGCATGTGATTTAGTGACAAAAGAATGACCGGAAAGTGGCATAACCCACTAGAAACAAATAGAGAAGTAATGGATTATCTTGTCAAGTAAATACAGTGCCATTCTCGACAACTCTAGATGAAAAGAAAAAACTTGCCATGTTCCCATGTGCAGAAAGGAGTTTGATGAGCCCAAAGTAAGACGTGTGAAAACATGGGTTGTTCAAGGAAAATTTGGGGCATCTTGGCAGCGACTCAGATGGGCTGTCTCAGGTGTAAGAAGAGATGAGAACGACTAGAGAGCGTACTGGATTTGTAATACAAGAAAGTATCCAGGGAATTTCTAGATCCGGCAGATACTACATGCTTCAGGTTCAATCCTACATCCAGATTCCACCTTGGAGCCAGCCAAATAGACGACTTGCTTCAGGAGTCCGGTCCCATCTGGATCCATTTCCGGATCATGTAAGGTCATTTCATGGAGATGTTAAATTATGGTTAACTGCATTTGCATGGGTAGAGTACCTAAAAGGACAAAGCACTGGGCCATCTGTGTCAGTGCTATATAGATATACTTATCTATAAGAAAAACTCGAAGACATACTCACTGAGGTGAGAACTTCCAATATGACGAAAATACAGGCGCATACCACAGGAAGCAGATGAAACTAGATATCTGCAGGCAAATTAAATTGCCACTCCATCATCATTACCATATCTCTCGGCAAAAACCTACTAAACCAATGCGTTCATTCATCATCACTAAGCACACCAATTTCCTATGGCATCCTCTCAGAACAAGCATTGTACAGCTACTGCAAAGATTGTGGTAAGAAAAATATTTGCAATCATATTCCTTCTTTCATTCCTTTCATTTACTTTGGCATAAAATTTAAATGCATGTATATGTGTAATTTCTAAACTATGAGATAGGCACACCTCAGTACCAACAGGATGTAAAGGGATTACGAGACTACAAGAGCACTCAAACAACCAGTGAAACATACAACCAACACTAACCGCAGCAACATTCAAACAATCAAAGCCAACAGAATGCAAAACTATGACAGTTGCATTGCGACAACCAGCACCATGTAGTCATGGATGACGGGTAACATCATAAATCTCGCCAATGCTGCTGTGTGCAGCTGCCCCCACAGCCCAAATAAACACTACATGTATCAATTTCGGAAATTACAGGGCACAAACTCACCGAGCACATTCCCGGAAAAAAGTGGGGAAAAAAACTCGCTGTTCACATAAACGAGATTAGAGGGACAAATATTGCAGGGCTAGATACAGTAAAGTAGGGTTTGGGGCCGCGTGGTTCGGGAGAGGCGGCGGCCTGAGAGGAGGAAAGGGTTTGTGGGAGGAACCCGGGAGGGGCTGCCGGAGGGGACGCAATGGATGCTACATCTTCTGCTCCTACCACGCCATTGGAACACTCGCCCATGCATAGGATTGGAATTCGATCAGCACAGGAAGAAGAAACTAATCTCAAATCTAGTTGCATCCATTCATCCATCCATCCATCCATCCATCTAGGAGACAGAGCAGAGAGGAAACATGCATCCAGTTCGTCCATTCATACATCCATCCATCTAGGAGACAGAGTAGAGCGGCGACAGAGAGGAGAGAGCTCACCTGAGGCGACGTCGGGCGCCGAGGCCAGTGGACGGGGGCGGAGTCGGGCGAGGCGTGCGTCGAGGCCAGCGGCCGGGGCGGGCTGTCGGGCGACGCGGCGGCGCGAGCCCTAGTGTGGGGGAGTTGGGGGATCGAGCAACAGAGAGGACGACTCGTCTGGTGCGGGCGGCCACTAGTGGCAGTTTCTTGGTAATTTGCCCCTCAAATTGGGGTACTACCATAGCTGGCCAAACGGGCCGGCCCGGCCTGGCCCGGCGAGGCCCATCCTAATCGTGCCTGGCACGGCCCGGCCCGCCGAGACATGATTATTATACGGGCCGTGCCAGCCCGCGTGCTGCAGCCTCCAGCCTAAGCACGACCCATATGCTAATTGGGCCGGCCCACCAGCACGCTAGGCCCGCTAATCTGACTCCTTTTTTGCGCACTGTACTTTTTTAAGCCTAGTTTTACTTGTTGGGCCACATTAGGATACATAAAAAATAAAAAATAAAAGATAATCGGGTCGTGTCGTGTCGGCCCGCGTGCTCGGCCTTCATGCCCAGGCACGTCCCTGGCGTGCCGCATGCCGGGCCTGGCCCGTTTAGCACGTGTTGTGTCATGCCAGGCCCGTGCCGTGTCGGCCGTGCTACCGGGCCGGCCCAATTATCCCGGCTCGTTTGGCCACCTATAGGTACTACCTTAAATCGAAGGGCACTATTAGGCGTCGGCGCGCCGGGCGAAAGTTTCGGCCGGTCGCCCCCCTCCTCCTCCCCCGTCGTTGATATCTCGAATCATTTACCTACCTCTCTTAACGCTTGGTCAACGGCTGGATAAAACACCATGACTCGCTCGCCTCTGCCAAGATAGCCGCGAGTGCGTCCAATGTGAGCGAGGCGCGGTAGCAGCCTTGCGTCGTCGTCTCACTGCAGCATCGTCGTTCAAGGGAAGCATGCCGGCACGATAGTTGCAGCTGGGTGCAGAGCATGCCGGTTCCAGCTCGCCCCCCGCACATGTCGTAATACCCCCCCTCCCCTCGCCGGCTGCAGCTCCACCATGGGCGATTGCAGCTCGCAGCCAAGTCGGTTCCAGCATTTCGCCCAGCCGGTCGTAGCACGATGTAGTCATTCCAGCACCTTCCTCCTGCCGGTTGCAGCTCCTCTACGAAACACCACAAAAAAATCAGCAAGAAAAACCATGTTCATGGGTGGTAGCAAAAAACAGAAGTTGTCCCACCAAAAACACAACACCAGTTTTAGCAAAATGCATCGCTGCCGACCATCACAACAACAAAAAAACTCACCGGATCTAGCAAGATGTTTGGCCGGTTGTAGCAAAACAAAAGGCCGATGCAGCAAAACGGCTCGAATCGTCGTCCGGTTGTAGCACTGGTCATCTATGGATGCAGCTTTTCGCAGACTAGTTCCAACAAAAAAAATTGCTGGTTGCAGCTTTCCGCCCGGTCGGTTCCAGCAAAAAAAACTAGTCGTTTGTAGCACAAGGGGTCGTCATCTCCATCACAAGCTACCGCTGGTTGCAACGCCGTTGCAACTGCTACCTCGCTGCACTGCCTGTCACAAAACAAACCGTGGCTGCGGCCGCCCTTGAGTTGCAGCACCGCCCACCACACTACCCCCCGTATTCGTGGGAGAGGAAGGAGACGCACGAGCGTTGCAGCCATCGAGAGGTAGGAGCCGCATGAGCACCATGGCAGGAAGCGCTCGCCAAGGAAGATTGTTGTGTCATGGCCCATGGCTGACGAGATAGATATTGAAGGGAGAGAGACGTGAGGGAAATTAATGGTTGTATTGCGTCGTGAAGAGATAAGATGAAGAGATAAGCGGTGGGTGGACCTAATGCTAACGTGGAGAGAAAACTGAAGCGAGCGACGTGGTGCGACCGACCAAAGATTCGGCCGGCATGTAGGCACGAAGGTTTTTCCTAAATCGAAACGTTTTGTTTTATTTTCATTTGTTTTGTGGGAGCATCCGAAATCACCGGAAGCTTCCTAGACGATTTTCGATTGCACTACCGATTCTAGCGGTTTTCGATTGAAGTACCGATTCTAGTGATTTTCAGATGATTCTGGATAATCAGATCGAGTTCTTTTGAGCTTTTGATTTTTCAGACCAAGATTGTCCATAACCGAGCCGAAAGAATTGGGCCTAAGTCATAGGGCACTATCCACGTGGAATTACAAATGTACCCCTCATTGTCAGATGACCAAATTACCCTTGAGGAGGGAGGCAAACAGGCCCATCAGGAGGGCCTAGCTACACAAATCGGGCCGAAAGAAGCACGGCTGGGGTCGTGCCTGTGCAGCGATGCGAGCCCTATGTGTCGGAATGTCCTGCTTATTTTATTTTTGTTTTTTGTTTTCAGTTTTGTTGCATAGCCAAAAATAGAGGTAATTGCACGATGGTACCATAATCGGGGTAGTCTCAACGAAATGGTACCACTTCTTTAAAAAAATTGCATGCGGGTACCAAGTGGCGGGCATGCGGTCACAAATTGATTTAAACTGCGTATAAACACGTATTTTGATGGTTAAACTGTTGGGGAACGCAGTATTTCAAAATTTTCCTACGATCACATAAGATCTATCTAGAATATGTATAGCAACGAGAGG